TGCCATCGGCTGCAAAGGTGATGGGCACAGTCTTCTGGGATGCAGAGTGGTTTATTCTGGCCAAATTCCTGGAACCTGGGCAAACCATCAATGCTGCTCGTTATGTCCAGACACTGCACAAGCTCCGTTGTGCATTGTGCGATAAACGTCCGGGATGAAACATCATCATCCTGCATGACAACGCTCGCCTCCACGCTGCTCGCCTCACATCGGAAGCAATTACAAAGATGGCGTGGGAAGTTCTTCCACACCCCTCCTATAGCCCTGATCTGGCACCCTGCGACTACCATCTTTTCAGATTTCTGAAGGATCAGCTGCGTGGACAACGTTTTGAGACAAGGGAGGCAATTCAGAAAGCAGTGCATCAGTGTCTTCGGATGGCTGAAATGGAATTTTACAGACGGGGAATTTTCAAACTCCCAGAACGCTGGAAGAAATGCGTACAAAGAAGTGGTGATTATGTGGAAAAATAAAGAAAGGTCTGTAGATTGAGGTGGTGTATTTGGTTTGTCAATAATAAAGCATGTTACTTTACAAAAAATTGTTGCCCATGACTTTCAGTATGACCCTCATATATTAGTATGATTCAATCTTTAAGTCAGTCTTGTATACTAGATGTTGAGATTTGTACTTATGTGTTCCTTTTTAGTGTCATTCACTTTAGTTGTGTATGTTTAGTGCTGTTTGGTCCTTGTACTGATCTCAATGTAGTTTCTCTCACTTAAATATCTTTCTAGGTAGTATGTTTACTGCTACCTCTTGTGAAGTTCATGTACTGTTTGGAATATTGGGTTATGTACTTCGATGTATGTACAGTTCATAGGTAAATTGTTCCTGCTCATTTTATAAATACGATGATGATGTAAATACTCGTATGATACAAACATGGTACATTATTTAAACATCTGCTCTTCCTTCCTGTTCTTATGACATCCATAATACCTGTTATTGTACCATATGTGTGACCCATGTTTAATATATGTATGATTCTAATATCCAGATTTACTACAGTTACTTCTAATGGACTGAATATGTTCTTTTATATCTTAGATTGAATGTTCTTCCAGTTTGACCATATATTTCAACGGGTAATCCAAGCATTTCATTTAATATATGCTGCTATTCTTATGCTTATCAGATCTTAAAAAAGAAAGCCTGTGAGGAAGGGATGTGGATGGAAGCACTCAGGATAATTTTCAGTAGTGGTGGTTGACATCAGCAGTGCCGATCCTTTGGGTTCTGCTACCATAGCACTTAGGAAAATACGGTACCACAACATGCTTACAACCACTTTCAAAATACATCATCATCATCATCATCATCATCAGTAATCTGTCAGACGACAGGTCCACAGTCTCTTCCAAAACAATTCCTCCACTTAATGCGATCTAGAGCTTTCTGTCAAAATACATCATCCATAAATATACTTCATAAGAAACCAAAGGGTTTGTTACTCACCTTCATGACCACATTCATGAAAGGGCTGAGGATCCTGGCAGGACTTGTGAAGTTGCCACAGAAGTGTCCCAGATACACTCCGCTTCCTGCAGCAAGCAAGACAGCACTATCATACATTACAAGCATTCCAGATGCTGGAAATTTGCTGTAACAGACTTTAATATGGTAACCTCAGTTCAAACTGCAGCCAGATATTAGAACACAATTTGCAAGCAGTGGTCATGTATCAAACCACAGCTTGTTACCTTCTTACTCACACAAAACTCATATGTGAATGTGACTGGATGACAGCGATGTTCATCTCACAATTCTGATGTCACTAGCATCAGACAGGGTAATTTTTTTTTGCACTCACAGAATTCAACTTTCTGTCACTCCAAAGGATGTGGACATTATTACACAAATTAATAATTGAGTAATTCCATGGATAACAGTCCTCTTTAAGAATATGGCTCATTCAGCTAGTCTAATTTTCTGCTTCTTAAGAGAAACAGAGGTTAATCAGAGTGTTCACTAGAGTCTGCCAATAGATTCTACCCTCCAGTCAGCTCAATCCAGTCCACATTCTCAATACCTATTTCTTTTTAAGCTCTAATGTAATGCTATCCTCTCATGCATGCTTCAGTCTTCCATGCCTTGCCCATCTGATTCTTCTTCACTCACCCAAATAATATTTTTTGAAGAGTAAACACTGTATTAAATTATTAAATTATTTAAGTTAATAAACATTTTAAAATTTCAGATTTGTACTATGTTAATGAGCTTTAACAGGAGCTTAGCCTTAGGTTGCAGATGAGTTCTAATAAATAAACTGGTAAGAGTTACACAGGCTAATATTCAAACACTGAAAATGATACTTGCACTAATAATAAGCATATAATTTTGCAGATTTGTCAATCAATTTTCTTGTTTCAATAACATGGGAAAGTTTAGGGATACTGTGCACAGTTATCTACAGCTAAATATTAGCCTGGATTAAAATTGAGAAATACATACAAAATTTCAACACATGGCCAGTTCCAAACTAAGCCATCTTTATCGTTTAGCACAACTAATCTGTGATTAGAGAGAGTGACAGTTACTAAGAATCTGATTTCTTTTCATGACCTCAATGTTCATTCTAGTAACACCTAACTCTAATACTCTCCATGAATTGAGCCTGCTAATGGAAGCACTTTTTAATAAAAATGTGCCTCACAAGCACACTGTGCTAGTGTGATTATCCATATTCTTCCTGATAATGTACTTGCTCAAATTAGTGATCTGTGTTTTAAGTATATTTTGATCTAATAAATCATTCTAGATACAATGACTTTGACAGAGTGTCAGACACCTGGAAAGCACTTTCTCTTAGGACTCTTTTCATTCCTTTCTCACTACTTGAATCCAAGGCCTGAAGTTCCTTAACTGTAGAGAGTGACAAATCATGATTTCTTTTTAACATGTTTATGAATTTTGTTTCTGTGCATTTACTATGTTGTCTGTCTCTTCATCCCTTTTAATTAGTTTGGTCAAATAGCCACTACTTTACCAACCAACCGATCTGAACATAGCTGTGTCATTTCAGAGAGATACAAATACCATACAATCAATATAAACTGAAGCATCTGCAACAACTTTGCTGCAGGAGCTGCCAACACAAATATTGCAATTTGGGGCAACAAACCACCAGATGCTTTGTGTAACACAGAACCTGAAATATTCATCATCGTTTTCATCAATTGGAACCAAAACATATCCTGCCTTACTTTTGATGATTGTTGGTCTGTGTAAGTGTCTTCAACCACTGCTGGCCTCACATAACAGTGGATTCATCATGGGATCCTGTCCCAATGTTAAATGATCAGCATTCACATCAGACTCACCTGCAGTAAACCACACAGAATCCCAGTGGTGATAGCAGCGCTGAGAGCTCGTGGAACTGATAGTACCATTCAATAGTGTGAAGGCAATGGTCTTGTTCATGTTTGTTTGGAGGTTTCTCTCCCACTCACAATGAAAGGATACCAGATTCAAGGATCTGGCAGGGGGATAGATGTAACCACTGTCACCATTAAGGTCACCAACACATGCTGGAATGACAACAGCTTATATTAACCATACTGTCATGAATAATTGGTGTGACTAATAAGATCGGTTTTGGATTGGATGATTGGATTTAATGGACTCCTTGTACAATCACTCATATCACAGTAAATTACAATGACTCATATTAAATATCCCTACAAACCCTTCTTCCTTGTGAAGCGTAGGGTACCCTACAGAGGATCCTTCAGGTTGCATATAGGTTCTCGTGATCACAGGACAGGGCGAGCAGGGGAGGACAAAGAAATCAGCAAGGCGGAAATACCCAAACAGAAATAACCAAATCAAATGTTAACAAAGAATAAATATAATATATTAATAAAGAAAGAATACAAACATAATGTAAATACCTGTATGAGAATGATTGCAGAGTTCGCTGTTCTCAGATAGAATACTATGTAGAGAAATTAATTTAGACGGTCGAGGATGACCTCGACCGGTGGTCCGAAACGAGAACAACCTACCCCTCGACGGTTGGAAAACCAAGAGCCTAGAGCTCCAGATGTTAGGCCGCTAAGTCGGCTCGGAAGGGGAAGGAGAGAAGGGGACAGTAGAGAAAGTAGAGGGGAGAAGTGCGCACACAGACCACGGACAGGAGCCGACGTCACACTTGACTGCTTAGGACTTCCTCCATTCTGACTGGACTCTCTCTATTCTGATATGATTTATGACTCAATCTGGGTTTCCTGTTATATAGCACCAGGTTGGAAGTCAGAATAGTTCCCGTGGAGTGTCCAGTCAGAAGAAGATGACAGTGTGTCAGATAGTGATTTGTGAACTGCTGTAACCAGATGTATAAAGTTCCAATAAATTTGATCATCAAATCCAAAAACTGTCTTATTAGCCGTGCAAACCCCAGATACACAATAATACTATTCTGGCAACATATTCTGTTTCATTTTCAAGAATTTAAAGACCAGATAATGTGAGAAGAAAGAAACAACTGTGATAAATTACTGTCTCAAAGAGAAGGAGTTTCAAAGGTAGGTTATTTTATGATGCTTCAAGTATCTAGACTAAACAGTATCAAAAGGTAGGATGAGTAATGAATGATGAATTAAAAGGGATTTGGTAGAAAGCAGTAATTGTCTAATCAAGGTACCATCTGGGAATTTGCCTGGTCTGAATGCGGAAAGCCAAACGAAACCTTAGTCAGGATAGTTGGCGCTCTCGCCAATATTTAAACTGAGTACCTTCTGGATACAAGTCCATACCAACCTGTTCAGTAAGTCCGAGGGTGAAAAATACCACACTCATGGAAAAATTCCAGCAATCATATAAACAGTACCAAACATGAAGCTATACTATGACTGACATATTTGACAGAACTCTGTTCTAATTTGGAAAACAAATTTATGACTACATACGTGACGCTTCATCTGATGTGTAACGTGCTCTGAAGCCACGGTGTCCCACATTGTGATGTGAAATAAAAATGACGGCCATAGAGTTACTTGTGGATCTCACAACCTCAGGTTCGCTTGTTGCATGAAATGTCTTCAGATAGAGGGAATATAGACCATCATAGAACTGAAACAGGTGCAGGAACATTATATTAACTGCTACTACACAAAATACTTTATATCAAGTTTCATGGACACTGGTTCAAAAGTTACTGGCAGGAAAATACATCTAAACAGATAGGCATATGGACATCACATCCTAAGTCTGTCTTGCATCATAAAACATGGAAAGCAGGTTAAATAATGTCAATCATATTTCATTTTAAAATAAGAAAAGCTGGAAAAAAAGTCAGTTGGATTATCGAACTTTATATATTTCAGAATAAAATGAAAACTATATACACAGCACCACATACAACTTCCAGAAGTTGAGAAAGTTGTAAGAAATATTAACAAGAGGTTTACAGAAGAAACAGCCTTCCTTTGAATGATTCAGTCACTAAAATAAAGGTAGCAAGCATTATAAACTGATCAAGCAATTGCAGAGATATACGAGTATTTAGGTATAATGTCTACCAATGTTAGATTTTAACAAACAACCTCAAACTTCTGCATCATTACCACGTTTCTCACTGTTAACAGATACAAAAAGATTATGTAAGTAATTCATACAAACATGTAAGATTTATCTCTATACAGAGTTTCATGTGTCTAGTGAAGCTGTTGCAGGACTCTGCCCTCCATATACCTCACAGTTTGGGTGCCACAAGGTGAAACTAAATAGCTTGATGGGTGCAACTGGTAGCATTTAGGTTTTACAGGACAGATTGCTAGATGAAAACTAGATGTATGCTAGGAGACATCAGAAAAATAAGGAAGTCATATGATTCACTGTTATTATTATTGCAGGCGTTCATACATGATCAAACAAAAGCGAGATCAGTAGAGTTAAGCTTGTCACAAGTTTGTTTGATGATGCATTAGATGGATGTTGGCTTTTAATGAATTAGTGTTTGTGTTAATTTAAAGGACATTTACTATGGTTTTACTATTATAAAGACAGCCTTACAAGGCTGAGTCCAAGCAGATCTAAAAAAAACTATTAATACTCTACTCTGAGTCAAAGACAAACTTAGTCTGAAAGAAGTGAGATATCTCATATCTTCAATGACTGGTCCAAGAGACAGCAAGATGACTTATGACAAGCAAAAAAGTCTAATCAGATTTTTTGTCTTAATTAAGATGGAATTTAAAATAATTATTTGGCTGGTTTCTCAGCACTCACTTCCTGCCATGGACTCATACGAATCCTGCTGGTCACATGACATGCAGAATTTGGTCTCAGACTTAACAACTCATCAGCAGTTACTAACATATATGGTACACAGATTCCCATGATGCTTCATATCTTAGTTCAAAAATGTGATATACCCATCTAATAAGTCACAATAATTCTGTCACCAAGTCTCTGCCACTGGGTACACAAACAAGACAGATTTCTCCTCAGCCAAAAAGTGACTTATCAAGCATAGGCGAGTCACACAGATGCATTAATGTTCCACTTAGGTCCCTACTTCGAATACTCATGTCCCTGTCAAACCTTGAGAAATGGCAGATTACATCCACCTCAGAAAGACAAGTCTTGGAACTGAATGAGGACCGTCTTCTCACACTAGTTTCAATGGTTGGTTAGTAACTTCCATCAAACCAAAACATAAATACACATTTGAAGCAGCTGATGTGTTGTTACTTTACATAATACAGAAAAAAAATTGTCTTCACAGATTCATATTGTGGTTTACAGGGTTGTGTCACCATGTAGTCTCAAAGGAACAACCTACTCCACCTTCAAGGTTGAAGATCAGTCCTGAAGATGGAGACCACATGTTCCCTTAGAACACTTGTAGCTACCTATTAGACTTCATGGCATCATAACTCAGAAGAACACAATATGAATCTTCATAACAACAAAACTTCAAATCTTATATACTTTGCATTCACAGATGTTTAACATCGTCCTTAATTCTATTAACTAACTCATGAAACAGAATCCTCCTTGGCAAGGTGATAATTGCTCAGCTACTAAAGAAATTCCTTGCTTTTTATGAAACTCAAATTTCATTATTGCAACTAAAAGAGCCTGCATTAAGTTACATGTCTCCAGCCCGGACATTCACACCATAGTTCCATAAGTTTCATTTGAGTATTACCAAACCACCTATGACAGGTTTGCAGTATTTCCAGCTGAAATCTTATGCTCATTCTCATCTCTCTCATGCCTGTTACACACTTCAGCCATCTCATGTCACTTGATTTCATTCTCCTATTAATGTCCTGCTGAAGAATACAAATTACAAAGCTTCTCATTATAAAATTTTCTCCATTCTCCTGTTACTCACTCTCTATCGGATTTCAAACACTTCCAATCTGTGTTTTTCATTCACAGTGATAGTTTCACATCCATCTAAGGTAATACATAAATTTACAGTTTTCCATATTTATAGTCTTTCAAATGGGCGAAAAGGGCAAAGAGATACAAGTAATCAGAATTAGTTTTTTTTTTTTTTATTATTATTAGAGTGGGATGGGACAAAGTCTCATGGTACTTAGGCTGCAAATGGGCCCACCTGATCAGCCTCAGATGACAGATGAGAGAAATGAAGCATTTAGTGGAATAAGAACTGGCATGGGAAATCAAAGTACTTGAAGAAGACCATCCTCAGTGCCACTTTATCCACCATAAAACCCACATTAACTGACCTGAGATTAAACCCAGACCACAATAGCGAGTTCAGATTCGCATCAGAACTAAATAGCAGCAATCAATCTTCACATTTAACTAGCACTTAATTTATGGAAGATATAACTTGCTACATTTGTTCCCAAATTTTGAATTCTACTTCATGTTTTAAGCATATATTGGCAATTTTTATATTTTGTTTCTGACCTGCATTTTGGTAGAGAAATGTGAACCTATATTATTGTAACGTGTTTTGTCTCTGAAGACGCCGTTTGGATTGTTAATTGGTTTATTTAACAACCTACAAAACGTAACTACAATTAATTATAACACAGCTGCGGGTTTATGCGCTTTCCAAACCCTACTCACAAATCTCTTCACACTATCTTCAATAGTCTTCGCTTATTCACAGTACAACATGGCGACTGCTAAACTTCCATCTGGCTTCACAATTCTCACGCTGTCACTCCTGATCACACACTCTCTCACGTACTGGTCAGCCAGCTTTTTATACCATTCCCTGTTGCCTCGTGTTACCAGCGTTGTCCCTTCTTACGTCACAGTGGGAAGTGCTGTTACGTCACCGCGGTGGAGGGGGGCAGAGTGTTGACTGGCCTGTTACCAAAGCAGCGGCAGCACTCTGATGCTGTTATGTCACTGCTGGTGGGGGAGGGGGTGTCCTGCATAGCGCAAATACACCATACTGCTCCCTCCTTAAGGCTGTTCCTCCCAAATAGCCTAACATTGCATCCCTGTTCCTTTCCTTTGAAGGCTGTTCTTGCAACACCTTCTTTTTGTCTGGCTACTCTTCTTGCAGTGACTATTGTCACTTTTTCTACATTAATGGTTCTTCCACCATGAGCTATTCAATTTTTTTCCATTTCAGAGGGGGTCGACCCCTCCACAATGTCCAGTCCTTGTCTTGTCGTAGGCTGACAGAAGATCTGACTGACTATTTGCTTCGCGACCTTCACGCTAACAATCTCGCAGAAGGTCTTCTTATGAGTTCTCCCTCCTAGGTGCGATTGCTGTCGTGATCTACACCCTCCGATGGTGTCCTTGGTTGGTCCCTTTTACTTCTGGCATAGTGGCCATCTGCTGCCTATGTTCTTTATTCCCGTTCTTCCTTTCCAGGTTTCTTGTTCAGCGTTGTCTTCGTTTTGTCCCATACGCCTGTGTCCTGCACAGCGTGTAATCTTTATTTCAGTTGTGGTCACTTCTTTCCACGGTCCACAATTTCCTTGAAGATGTTCCTCTTGCACCATGCCACTGTTGCACGGCGGGACACCTTCCTGCTGGTTTTCTTCTGCTGTGCCACTTCCATATGGCGGCTTGTCTCTCTGCAGGTGACAGCCAGTCTTCTTCGGCACCCATCCTTTTCCTGGTTCCATTTCTACATATTTCGCTGGTTTCGGTCCCTACACCTTTTCTTCTCCGGTTCTCCGACTGGCATTACTTCGGCGTCTTCTATGGGGAACTCTCATTGTTCTGCTGCCTCAGGTTTCCTGTCCGGTGAGGTTGGCTGTTCTTCTTCTAGACATTCCTCAATCTCTTGGCAGGCCATCATCTTTTTTCGGGTAATCGATGTCATTTCTTCTTCAGGTTCTCTGACCGGTATCACTATGGCATCTTCTATGGGGACCTCTTCTTGTTTTCCCACCTCAGGTTTCCCATCCAGTGAGGTTGGCTGTACTTCTTCTAGACGTTCCTCCATCTCTTGGCAGGCCATCATCCCTCCATCCATTTCAGGTTTTAGGCTTGGTGCTGGTGGATGCCCCACATCGGGCAAATTCACGTGTTACTGGCTCACAGAACGCCAGAGGAGATCCTCTCCTGAGTGTTTGGTCCCTGTGGGTAGCATTCATGACCCTCACTGGTACTTCCTGACAGTCCTGGACTAGGGTCCTGGCTACATAGATTCATAGATTCCATCAGGCGGATCGGCCTGCAGGCTAGGTTCAACTAGACCAGTTTGTACTCCCAGATGATTCTCCATTCTAGCCATCACTATGGCCTCCCTCCGTGCAGGTATCACATGGTAGTTTGCCACTAATAAGCTGGAAGGACAGAGTCCTACCCCTGGACTCCATAACGATACTTTTTCTTCTGCCAGGGGCAGTTTAGTGCCCAATGTCCACAGATGCATCAGTATGCGCGCAGTATGTCCAGTCCCAAGATGAGCTCATCGGTGATATTTGTGATGAAAACCCACATTGTTAGCGGTCGATTCCTCAGGGTAAGGGTCAACAGAACTTCTTTCAGGATGGGTAGGGATCCTCCAGACATGGTCTGCAGCATGAAATTTGGATTTGGCTGTCTTTCAGGACATCCGGCGGCGATATCCGATCTTACTACCGTGACGTATGCTCCAGTCTTTACTGTCACCTGGCAAGGCTTATCACTGACCCATCCCTGGGTAACCAGACTAGTGTTGGCTTTTTCCATGATGTTGGTGAGTGCACAGTGTGGGGGCCTCAGTGCATATGCTGGCGTCCGCGCCTCACCGCTGGCCCTCGCTCGTTTCCTGCCAACTGGTCACTTCTCCAGCTTGTTTCTCTCTTATTACTGGGTCACCATTCTGATCTTCCCGGCGATTCACACTTATTTCTTGGTGGTCTGTCTTTTCGGTCCTGATGCTCTCTATTTCCAGTTCCTCTGCTGTAGTGGCAACTGCTCTCAAAGTGCCCCAGCTCTCCACAGTTCCAGCATCTTGACCATTGTGTCTCTCTTCGTTGGGTGAGGGACGATCAGAACTTCCGATATGTCTTGGGGTTATTTTCGTGAGGTTGGGCTGCTACCAGTACAGCCTGCAGCTCTAGCACTTGTTGGAGGGCCTCTTTTACCGTCTTCTCCCCTCCCAGCAGCAGCTGAATCTTGATGTCGGCATCACTTATACCGTATGCGAATGCTTTTCCTGCTTCTCTTGCTATGTAGTCTGCAGGTAAGTTGGGATAGGCACGATGGGGAAGCATGTTGATGGCCATGGCGAAGTCTTGCTGGGGTTCTCTGGGTTTCTGTGTTCTCGTTGTCATGCAAAGTGTTGGTCCCTGAAACGGTCCTCTACTGCCTGAAGGGTATCCTCTTAAGTGGTATTTGCCGGAATGCCGGGTAGCACTTCTGCCACCAGGTCCTTCAGAGCGGTGATCAGATATGTTGATTTTTCCCTGTCTGACCATTGGTTGTGTTCTGCTACGGTCTCGAACTGTCAGAACATGCTCCACATTGAGTTGCTGTTAAATGTCAGTGGCTGAACTGTGCCCACGCTGACCATGGGTGTGATTCCCCGCTCGGTCCTCATCTGTACGATATCCAACAGAGCCTGGAACTCGCATTTGGTTTCTTCAATTGCCGCACAGGTTTTCATTAGTTCTTCCTCGAGATTTCTTGTCCGTGCATTGAGGGAAACTTCTGCCATTTGTAATTTTTCTTGTGTCCTTTTAATCCTCTCAGTTAGCTCTGCATGGAGAATCCGTTTATCATGTTCAAAGATCTCAAAAATGTTTTCAATTCTATGTTGGATTGTCTCATCCAAGTCTGACTGCATAGATCGCATTGCGGCCTTCATTTCTTCCTTGTCAGCCTTCCTATCAGCCGCCGCCTTTCCTTGGTAGGCATCTACTTTTGCCAGCATGACGTCTGATTTTTCTTGGTTGATGTCTAATTTTGCCAGGAAATCTTTGTCTTTCTTCCTATTGGCCTCCATCTTTTCTTGATAGGATTTCATGTTGGCGTCCATTCTTGCCATCATCATATACATATGGAAGGCTGAAAGCTGCATGTAAATCACAGACTGGTGTGCACCTTGGAAAATTTCCAGTGGTGTGCAGAACCTTGTTTTGAATGTGCTGCAATGTTAAGAGGTAGGTGTCTGCCACTAATTCCCAGGTGGGACAAGCATAAGTCATTACTTATTGGATCAGTGCTTTAAGGATGGTTAATTTAACGTTGATACTAAAATGCTCACTTTTGAGTAGTTAGTAGATTCTAATAAATATTCTGAAGACCTCAACTTCAATCAATTTTATCTGCAGTCTCCATGCAATCATCTTATCAAAAATTACACCAAGATGTTTTACATGATTGATGAAGGGGAAATTCCATCCATTCAATGTAAGATGTGACTCAGGGGGCCTAAATCTCTGAGAAAAGTAGATGGCCTGAACCTTATCTTCATTTATTTTCATGTCCCAGTGCTCACATCATGTCTCGATAGCACTGAGAGCTTGCTGCAGCTTTCTGAGTACATAACCTTCTTTGCAGTCTGTCACATATATACAGGTGTCATCGGTAAAGAGACCTAGAGAGACACCAAGTGTTTGGGGCAAATAAACGTAGCGCAACGCTACGTACCCGTAATCAACTTCCTACTGTGACGTGGCACTCATTACGCAACCGGCAAGCACTGCAGCTATATAAGTGAGCTTCACAGCAGCTACCAGTCAGTTGGAATGTGGGCAGCCGCCGAGTTGTAACCTGGCCATCGCCGAAGACAGTTCCGAGTTATAAAGTAACAGTCTCCGAGTGGAGTTGTAAAGTGACAGTCGCCGAGCGTGTTATCAACAGTTCTCCAGTCAGCCGACTACAGTTGGAGTATAGCAGCCGTCGCGGAAAGAAGAACCGGACGTGTGTGTGATTGTGTAATTGGGAGCGTGTGACACAGTGATACATAGCTCCCCTACTGTAAACGTGTAGACCACTGAAGACAGAGTGAACTGATTTTCGCATAGGGTTATAAGTCGTGAAACCCCGCAACAGTGTTAACAGATTAATGCGATTAGGGTTATAAATCGTGAAACCCCGCAACTGTGAGATAAGTAATTGTAGCTGTTACTTGTAGATTGTTAAATAAACCAATTAACCATCTCTACGGCGTCTTCAGTAACGTCAACACGTTACACTGGTGTCAGAAGTGGGATCAGTAACGCAAACACGTTACACTGGTGTCAGAAGTGGGATCAGTAACGCAAACACGTTACAATATATATATCTCTTGGCACAGACATTTCACCTTCGACCAAAACTCTAAGCTTTCTTGAAGAAAAGAGAAAATAAGCTTGACTAGCAAAAGTAAAAAAGTAAAGTTATCCCTGTAACTGGCTGTGAAGGCCCAAAGGGTTGTGAGATGTTGAGGGTCCCACATTATGTAGACAGTCAGCTCAAAGATGGTGGTAAGGTTGTCAGCCTTAAGCACTGGCCACGCTTTAATCCCCAGGAAAATTATTTAATTAATTCCTGGTGCTCATTTCTGTTAGAGGCTGAGTCGACCCCAGGGCCATAGTGTGGCCGGAAGGATTAGGTCAATTGAAAAAAATCCAATGACCTCATCGGGACTTACTGATAGAAAATTTTAATTTTGATCATTTACATAGCAAGCCAAGGTGCCAGGTTTCATCAAAGGCTTTTTCAATATCCAAGGATACCGCACCCATAGACATATTATTGTTGAAATTTATGGTGATGTGGTTCATATACTGCAGTGTCGTCCTGTCTTGGGCACAGAAACCTAACTGGCTTGCATTAAGCAGACTTATTTTTTTCATTGTGCCTTTGGACTATTTTAAGAGTAACTTTCTCGAGTAGCTTGTCTGCTGTGGGCAAGAGACTAATTGGATGTAAATTTTGACAGAATTTTGGTTCCTTACTGGATTTCAGTAATGTTATACTCATAAATGTGCTTCCTTCCAAGGCTTAGGAAAATGGGACAGCTGAAAGCAGTGATTAAATACATTTGTCAGATGTACCAGTGGTCTTCCTGGAAGATGCCTGCGGTATTCATTTGGAATACCATTAAGTCCACAAGCCTTTCTCAATTTCTATGAATTTGCTAATTTATATGTGTCACAAGATCTTACTTTTCCAAACGGGGCATCAGCTACAGATGCGAGCTGAGCTTGGACTCTAGTCTCCACCCATGGCTCACTGTTTGTGCTACACAGGTCATGAGATACCTCAGACCCTCTCCTGATACAGTCTGTGCAACTGTTCCTCGATTGTTGCATGCCAACTGTTGTTGCGGTCACATAACTCAGTTGCCATGGGAACGTGTTTACAGAGCCACTCCCTAGCAACAGACATCTCTTCTGGTTCCATAATTCTTGCTTTGAGCTGTTGTCAGAATATGGTAATGAATTTTGGATTCCATATGATGAAGGAAATTTTTTCATTAGCTGAGTGGATATTAGGTTTCAAGCAATACTCCACTTCACGGAGTTAGTCAAATGTTTTATCTCTGGATCATATGGTCCATTTTTAAACATACATGATAAATAACAATAAAACTTCACAGAATGAAATTTCTGAGATAACATTCTTTCACATAACCAGAACCTAAAAAGTGGGTAAGATGTCCGTCAAATCAGACAGCTAAAAGAAATAATATGTGATTGAACTCACGATCAGTCGGTGCTTATATGCCTGCACTGAGGTCTCCAGATCAAAGTCAAGCAGCTCTACTTTCACTCTGCGCCCAACTGGTACAACTATTTTCCACATACAGTAGCGCCGGTAACCTCGTGTTGAGGGGTAGCCTGGGCTCTCAAATACCCCAGTAGGGCCCTCCAACTGACCTCCACAAGCTGAAACAACATAAATAATACAAATATGATGTAACAAATGCTGGACCAGATTTCACTGCTCTAAACAAAATTTTTAGACAACATGCATTAAACGTCAAGTTCTGATGACTAAATTTTTCTCTACAAATGGGGATTTTTTTTGTTTAAAACATTCAAAAACTTTGGTATGAAAGGAGATTTCCAGCCCTGTGTGTAATGAATCCAACAACTCTCACAAAACTTTACAGAACTTCACTACACATGATGCAATGTCAAACATTTCATGTTTGGTCAGAATTAACGAAGTCCTAATTTCAGTGACATATATACACATTTCATAATAACAAGCAGTTAAAATTATAGTCTATGGAACATCAGACATTCAAAGTACCTGTCGCACAGAATGTATACTGAACTTTGCAGACATAATGAAAATACAAATTCGTACATCTCATGAGTTCTGTTCACAAACTTACATAAAAAAAAGGTCTTAGTACAGAAAATTAATATTCCAGAATATGTCAAATATTATGCATACAGAGCAAGCACACCCTGTCCTGAAAGCATGTTTAATTCAGGAGGTCTTGTCAGTTTTTGATAGTTTTCTATAAAGAAATGGCTGATTATTTAAATTAAATACATAGACTGATTAACGCATCAAGTCATTCTTTCATTTACAGTTTATTCAGTGTTATTTCAAGCACAGAAGTTAGAACCAAATGAAATATGAAAAATGACGATGAATGGAAAACTGTTAATAATGCACAATAAAGTATTAGTTGTAACCTTATATACAACTTTACATAGACTTCATTCACTGTCTTAGAGATCAAATACATGTCATGTCACAATATTAAATTATGAATGAATATTATGGAACGTAGAGATCCCAAATAATGCAAAGAGTATATTTTAAACCAATTCTAACATTTAATGCTAAAACACAGATCCTTAAACAGAGAACTAACAGCAAGATCCAAGCAATGGCTATGATATTTCTGTCAAGTATTCAGCTGGGGGGAGAAGAAATGTAATAATCAATAAGAGTTTAGAGAAGCTTGAATTCAAGCTCTGTTAATAAAGTTAGTGAGAAGGTCATTATAATTCAAATTGGTAGCAAACAGACCTATGCAATGACCCAGAACAAGAAGGTTCATCCAGGTAGAAAAGACATCAAGAACAAAGGAAAGAGAAGACAAAAAATTTAAGAAATAAACATCGTGGAAAGCTAGAACAGTCTGAAAACGTTTCAGCCATGAAGCTGTAGTATGAAAATGGAGAA